TGGTTGGACCAGTTTGCACTCCCACCAACAGTGCACAAGAGTTCCTTTTTCTCCACATCCTCGCCAACATTTGTTGTTGCTAGTTTTTTTAATATGTGCCATTCTCACTGGTGTGAGATGGTATCTCATGGTAGTTTTGATTTGCATTTCCCTGATTACAAGTGATGTTGAACATTTTTTCATATGTCTGTTGGCCATTTGCATTTCCTCTTCAGAGAAGTTTCTTTTTAGCTCTTCTGCCCATTTTTTGACTGGATTATTTTCTTTGTTGTTGCTGAGTCTCATCAGCTCTTTGCAGATTTTTGTGATCAGTCCTTTATCATTAGTGTTGGGTGCAAAAATGTTCTCCCAGTTGGTGGGGTTTCTCTTTGTTTTTGTTATTGTCTCTTTTGCTGTGCAGAAGCTCTTTAATTTGATGTAGTCCCAGCTGTTTATCTTTCTCTTCACTATCACTGCTTTGGGTGATGTGTCTGTAAAGATGTCTTTTGGCTTTTAATGGGTCTCTTGTAAACAAAGTATCAATGGCTGAAACTTTTTCCTTTTTCTTTCTTTTTTTCAATCATGACTAAATATGTTTTAATTGTCACATTTAACTGCTTTGTCAGGTATATATTGTAGATTTCTGTATAGCATAAAAATAAAAATATTTTCCTGAATGTCAAAATGTGAACAGAGGACAAGGCAAATGGCACTTCAAAAAAAAAAAAAAATCACACTGGTGCTAAGCCACTAGTAGGTAGCTGATAAAACCTGGAACACATTTGCAAATAAAATGGGTGCAACATTTCAAATCAATGGGGAGTGGCATAAGGCTAGCCAAACCAAGAGAGTGTGAAATACAGACCCGAGAGACTGGCTGTCTTAAGAATGGTAGTGTTCTCATTTTGTTCAGACAGCATTACACTGCCTAATTTCATATTAGTCTCTTCTATAAAATGAAATTACATTTCAGAACCTGGATTTTTAACTTTTTGAACAAATTCCTAATCCAAAGGAAGGGCTGTTATATCCCAAAGCATTCATTTCATGGGCTGACTTTGTCATAAATGGTGTGTCCTGTTCAGCCAAGAGCCTAACATGCTTATGAATTTCTTCAGTGCTTTCACACATTCTGGACAACACATTCTAGAAACAGACAGTAACTAAATAAATATTGATATGTATTGATATAAAAGAAAGTCTCTGCATAATCCACAATTATCCTTCAAATGGCAACTTAAAAAAAAAAGTTTACCAGAACACCCATGAATCACACTAGATTATCTTAATGATTCTCTCTCTCATGAAACCTGACCACTGTGTCCAAAGGTGAGGACCTGTGGCCCTGAGGCTCTTACCAGTTCTGGGTCCAAGGCCTCTCCTCCTGGAAGTTCAGGAGTCTGAGAAAGTGGTTCTCCATCTAGATTAAGTCCCCCAAAATCTCAATGAGTGATTAAGAAAAAGAGTTTCTATCATTTTGTTAAATCTGGGAGGTCTGAGTATTCTTGGAGCCCTGGTCCTGATGTGTCACAGGACGGAAATTCCTTGATTGGGAGTAGTTGTTATACAAAGGCTCTGTGGGGGTCAATCAAATTTTCATAATCAATGTCATCTGATTCCTCAACATTGTCTCCAACTGCTCTTTGGATAGGGGCGAGATCTGCTCTACTTCCAGGATATTTCAGTCCAGCACTGGTGTAAGCGTAGTTGGAAGAGCCCACAGCTTGAGGTTCAGGCTTAAAGACACTAATCTCTGGGTCAGGATGATTCATGGTAATTTCTTGATTGTTTGGGTGAAAATCAGAATTAGGAGGAGGATGACCAATGGCTTCTGTATTTCCCACACTTCTGCCTTTAGCTGAACACCAGAGTAGGACATCCGGGGCTGAAGTTGGTTCTAAGCTTCCCGAAGGGATCTATCTCTGCTTACCATCACCTGCTACAATCTTCTTTCTTGTCCCTTTTCATTTTTCATTTGAGTGATTTATCTTCTTAATTTGTTCACTTCTGTCTGACAAGATTAAACAACTCACTCATTCTTTTCTGTGTCTGTACACACCACCTGCACACTTTCTCTTGCAGTACATTATAAACCTGATAAATTGCCCTGATGTCTTTCATTACTCCATCCTCATCAAAAAGACTAATTATAATAAAGTAAAAATCAAAATCAACAAGCAACTATAAACCAGAGATACACTGCACGGGGAGGGGGGGAGAAGGGAGCAGGATCAAAACAAGGGTGATGGGAATTGTATGGGGACTATAACCAAGATGAAAATGCATACATTGTGCAAAAATGAAAAATGATGTAAAAACATATTGAAAATTAATTAAAAAAGTCATTACCATGTTCTTTAATAACTTTGGCATAACTCTAAAAAGTATTTGGCTCTGAAAACACTTTATACTCTTGCTGACTAGTGTTGCCCAGGTTGGGAATAGTGAGGGATAGCCTTCGATAATACCTTCAACTTGGTCTAAAGAGAGCATAGTCTAAAGCATGAATAGAATTTTTGGCAGTGAAGATGAAGCTGAAGAGAAGGAAAATGAGGTCAGTCATCCAAAGGATGTGGGTGAACTGCTTATGGATAACCTGTTCTCTGTGACATCTGCTGCTGTGTGATTTAGGGCACTCTGTTCCACCTGATAACTTTCTCTGATCTTTGCTCACTAGTCTTAGAAAATTAAAATGTTTGGGACAATGTTCATAGTTATGGATTTCAGTTACTTGCAGAAATCTGTGTTACTGATTTGTGTGAGTCACTGATGCTAAATGTTTCCTCTTGACTAACCTCTCCCAGCAGAAACTCTTCATTGTTGTTGGTGTAGCCCGAAATGGAAGCCATCGTGATGGAAATCTCCAAATCCCCCTGCTGAAAATTTTCACCCACTATGTCTTTTCATTGGTAAATTTAGTCCATTCACATTTAGGGTGATTATTGAAATGAACTATTTAATATCAGTCATTTTGTTTATGATTATTTTATTTTTATGGTGTTTCTTTTTTCTGTTTGTTTTTCTCAGCCCTTCCTGGGTGGCTTTCCTTAGTACCTCTACCACTTTCTTTGTTTTTTCATCTGTGGGTCTGTTCTGGATTTTTGCTTAGTGGTTACCGTGGAGGTTGTTACTAAAATTCTATGACTTAAATCTTTTATGAGCAGGTATCTGCTCTCTGACATTTAATTATACAGATTCTGTCCATTTCTTCTTTTCCCTTAGTGTTTTATTGTTGACTCAGTATTCTTGCTCATTCTTCTGGTCTTGTATTTTTATTGTATTTTTCTCAGGAGTTTGTTTCATATTTTTCTTTTCTTATGGACAAATTCCTTTCACTATTTCTTGAAGGGCAGGTCTGGTGGTGGTAAACTCCACCAGCTTCTGTTTGTCTGGGAAAACCTTTATTTCACTATCATACTTGAATGATATATTTTTTTAAAGATTTATTTATTTATTTATACAAGCACTGGGTACAGTGAGAAGCACGGGAGGGCGAGAGGATTCACCAGAGCCAGAGCAGGGAATAGAACAGGCAGACTGACGAAATACACTGAGGGGAGCAGCGGGCGTGGCAGGAGAGGTCTGTCCGCCATGTGGGACCCTTGCCAGCAGCTGGGGATTGAACCCACGCTGCAGAAGCTGTGGGCAGCTTCACAGCCCAGCGCTCAACCACTGCAGCACCAGGGGAGGCCCTTGAATGATAATTTTATAGGATGGAATATTCATGATGGGCAGTTCTTACCTTTTTTAGCATTATGAGCATTTCCTTCCATGCTCTTTTTCCCTAGAGAGTGTCTGGGTTGAAGTTTGGGGGAAATTCTAATATGGAAGCCTTTGTAAGTTTGTTTTTTTCTCTTGCTCCCTGCAAATTTTTTTCTTTATCTTTGATTTTTGATAATTTGACAATGTTATGGCTTGATGTAGGGTTTTTTGCATTTCAAAATTTGGGAGTCTCTCTGCTTCCTGGACTCCCATATTTAATTCATCCTTTTGGCTTGGGAAATTCTCAGTTACTATTTCTTTGAATATGTTTTCTGCTCCCATTTCTCTTTGTTCACCTTCTGGGATCTCAGTTATTCTTAAATTTCATGTTCTAATTAGGTCTGATACTTCTCATAGAGTTTCCTCATTTTTTCTTTGCTTGATTCACTTTCCTAATGGGTGATTTGAGTCTTCTTCATCTGAAATTCTTTCTTTTGCCAGTTTAATTCATTTAAAGTACTTCCTAAGTTTATCTGCATTTCATTGTGTCTCTTTTTGTGATCTCGCATCTGCCTGTCTTTGATTGACCTTCCAGTAGCTCATTTGACATTTTTAATATTGTTGTTTTGAAATTTTTCTCTGATAAGTTCTCTATTTCTATGTCCTTTATATTTGTCCCCAAAATTCTGTTCTTCTCATTTTGCTATTCCATTTTGTGTTCAGATGTTCCTTGTTTCATAGGAATGTGTGTTGTCTTACTTGCTTTTTTAATGATTGGGTTGCTTTATGTAGATTTGTCTGTTTCTCTTCTCAGTGCCATGGTGTAAGGTGGGGGCAGGAGGTGAGTGTAGGACTTGTACACTCCATCTCACTTTGAGGAGTGACATTGGTCCCCCTCTCAGCCTCTCCTCTTCTTTCATTCCACAGCAGTTTGTGCTTAGATTACCTTAACTTCCCAGCCAGCCTCACTGCTGATCCTTTTTTCCTGTGGGTTATGTATGATCTATGAAGCTTAAGTTTCCCTCCGGAGGAGCAAGATCTGGACTGCCTGACTCATGCTCTGAGACTAATTTGCACTTGGCCAGGAGGAGACGCTGTGCCAGAGGGAGGGAGTGTGCTGACTTGTTGCCATGTCTGCCAACAGCCGCCTGCACTGCACTGCCCCAGCCTCTGGTGCCACTTTTGTAGGGCTGCAATCTCTGTGCATTTTGTTTACTTTCCTAAGGGATTTGTGAGTTATCGCACAAGTGCTTTCTCTGTTTTGGGGCTTTTTGTGGAGTCGGCCTGGCTCAGCCTGGTATCTCTTTGATCTCCTCTAGGAAGGGAGTGGTGAAGGAGACTTCGAAGTTCCCAATTTCCTGCACATGTATCCACAGAATTCACACTGCCCGGGTCAGGTCTGTGCCCACTCAAGAGTTCCTCTGCGGAATTTCACAGTGTCCTGGGTTGCCCCTGTAATGGCTTGGGTGATTAACCACCCCCCACCCTACCCCCACCTGTTCTTCCAGTTGGAAGTCATGCTTCCCTTTGCTTCCTTCCATCCTTCCCCTTAATGACCACCACCCTTAGTTCCAGATTTCTGGGAAAATCCTGAGAGTCTAGACTGGACATTGTCTAGATCTTCCTGTGAGCAAATTTTGTATAATTGTTTTTAAAGGAGAGAGTTGTCCCGCCCCACCCCCCCATTCTGCCAGGGTATGGGTCAAACATGGTAAAATTCTTGAAAAACAAATTTTCTAAAGAGTACCCTTACAGTTTTATTTTCAGTGTAATGCCATTTCTTTCCACAGATTTGCCTGTAAATGCATCACGAAGAGGCAGCGCAGAATGAAGAAAGCAAGCAAGAGTGTTGGCTCAGTGCCTAAAGTGTCTGGGATAAGCAAAACACAAACAGTAGAAAAAACAAAACTTGAGAACAACTCTTTAGCACCTACTGGAGGCAAACTTATAAAACCTGGAACAGCAGCATCATTGTCAAAGGTAATGATTTAATATTATGTGAATTTGTGATGAATTTTAGGATGAGAGAATCATGATACAATGTCTGATTTATTAAATAATCATGAGTTTTTTGTATTTTTGTATTATATATGTTATTGTGATAACATTGATTTACAACACTCTATATGATTTATAAGAGGTATAGGTTCATACCTCTTCTGATGTATGTTACCATGATGCCACACCCACCACCAAGGCACCCATAGTCCATAGAGCCCCGGCCCGTCTTTACTCTCACCTCCTTACCCCAGTCCACGCTGGTAGCCTCAATTCTGCCTTCAAATTTCTAGGGTTTGTTTTGGTTTAGTTTTGTCTATTCCTTTGTTTTGTTTCTCTATATTCTGCATATGAGTAAACTCACCTGGTATTTGTCTTTCTTTTTATAACTGTCTTCATTTAGCATGATCCCCTCCATTCCATCCATGTTATTACAAAAGCAAGATTACATCTTTTTTCTTTTATAGATGAATATATTCCATTGTGTATATGTTGTGCATCTTCTTTATTCTCTATGTGTCATTGGGAGCTTAGCTTTTTCATCAGTTGGCAATAGCCTGTAATTTACCTTGTAAATAGTACTGCATTGAACATAGATCTACTATATGATCCAGCAATTCCACTCCTAGGTATCTACTTGGAAAACACAAAAACATGAAGTAAGTGGTTTTTTTTTTTTCAGTGTCATCTGGTGTTGGTGCTGGGAATATAGTGCCTTAAAAGCAAATTCAGGTTGGTGGACATACCTGGTGTATGAGTTGGTGTATGAACTTGGTGTGTGTATTGGCTATGAATAAAACCAATAAAACCAAATAGCATACTCATTCCTGAAACAAATCACTAAGCGCCTGCCTTGTGCAAGGCTCTGCTGGGTGAGAGCTGGCCATAGAGTATGCCTTCCAGAAGTTTGTACAGAGTATTGGCTGGAGGCAGCACATGCATGCGTAAGTAAAACAGATGTGGAAAGTCACATGCCCTGGGAGAGCAGGAAAAGTGTGTAGCAGTTTTAGAAGGAAAATAATATTTCTACCCTGGGGAACATTTTATGAAAAGAACATAGGAGCTATGTCTTAAGGGATGACCAGAAATAATGTTCCTAAGACTCCAAGGGGTTTTTATTACTACCCTCATCCCATGTGTACCACAAACTGTCAGTTCTTTGTATTCTTTCTCTAACAGCTGACCCTGTATTAATCCTAGTTAAAATTGGGTGATAATTTAGTAAAGACATACTGAGTTTTCTTTACACTCCTTTAGAGACTATCTTAGTTCTTTTGATATACACTAAGTAGTGTATAAGACCAAGGGCTTTAGGAACAGACAGACCCAGACTCAGGATGTACTTCAGAGGGCTGTGGTCACGATGAAATAAGGGAATATGTGAACATGCCCTTCAGTTATCACAGGTCCAGCAAGTACTTAGAAGTGAGAGGTGGTAACATTTTTATTGATTAGCTCTGGACACTTGATCAGTCCAGGATTGTTTGCTGAAAGTAATAATTTTTCTGTATGTCTTCTTCTGTATCTCTGTTGGTTTGAACCACAAAAGGACAGGGAACTACAGGCCATTTTTCTGCTGATTAGGTCTTAGGCTCATTGGACAGAGATCCACAGTTGTCTTCTTTCATCCTTTCTTAGTCCAGACTTCATTGATTTGTTTTTTATTGTTTGTTTTAGGGATGTAGTGTTTTAAGTAGAAACTTTACTTTATGATGAAGACTTGGAGAGAATTTCTGCTAATCTGATGGGAAAAATCAAGCTCTCTACCTCAAACATGATCCACACCAAAGCCTTTCATCCATGATAGATCACAAAGCCTTTCATCCATGATAAATCATGGCTGAGTTATTTGAAGAAGCACCTCACAGGAATATCTGTGAAGGAACATCCTTAGATTTGTTAAGATCTAGCAGAAAATGCTGGTTTTTTACTCTAGGGTTGTCAAAACTGAACCTGGATTTATTCCATGGGTTTCAAGATGCCCCCAGACTTTTTCCTTGCTACAGCCCCAGTATGCTGCTGGATGTCAGCTGGTGGCTGAGGAGGGTACTAAAAGTAGACCTTTGCCCTACTTGTGTTAATCTGAATCAACACCCTGAATTATTTCCTCGGTGGCAGTCCTGTCACTCTTTCATGTAAGACAGCTGGCATTTTCTGACCTAACTGGTTACTCAGTCTAGAGCTATCTTCAGGGTGGAATGAGTGCATGTTACTGGGTGACCTGTTATTTATATGACTGGAAGAACAGGTTGAAACATTGGCATTGGATGTATATTACTGCCTTCCTTCTTTTTCATCCTTGTCAGTGGCTGGCAGTGGCATTGTAGGTTTACTATGAAGTGTGCACTGAGCAGGCATGAGATCTGCTGCAGCTTGGATCCAGAGTTGCTGGTAGTTTGGTCTTGAACAGTGAGTACTTTTTTATTGTAAAGTAAAACCGCATACCTGTTAGATGCCAACTACATGTCAACTGTGTGAGCTTTGCCTCTGCTGTGTTGGGTGGTTGAAGAGAAAGAGGGAAGGAGGGAGGAGAAGAAAAGAATCATTGAAGTTGATATAAGAAGACACAGAAGGAAAGAAGAAAATGGAATGAGCAGGAAATTGAAGGGGAAAAAATAAGGGTTGGACAAGCAACTATAAACCAGAGACACACTATGGGTGGGGGTGGGGAGGAGAGAAGGGGAGAGGAAGGACTAGGATCAAAATAAGGGGGGGGTGCAATTGTATGGGAAATATAACCAAAATGAATATGCATAAATTGTGCAATAATGAAAAATGATGTAAGAATTATATAAAATAAAATATTAATTAAAAAAATAAGGGTTGGAGACTCCACTTAAATGTTTTTTTATTTTCTAAGTTTTCATTTTTCATTGTGCTTCTCTAGTGTATAGACACCTCCCACAACTTAAGTTCCTGTAATTGTGATGGAGCATCAATGAATAACCAGATGAGTGGTTATTGGCATTTCATCATTTAGATAATACACATACATACTCATTCACTTGTGTGGATGCTCACATATGTGCAGATGTGATGGCACAGTGTGTATTTAGTTTGTTTTTTTTTTAACTGTTTAAATTGTAGGTATAATGCTCCTAAACTGCTAAATATTTCAGGGGGTATTTCTTAAAAAACATGCATGTTTTCTCTCATAACAGTAGTACAGTTACAAAATCTGGAAATTAACATTGCTATAGTGCTATTATATATTCTGTAGACAAATTACGTTTTACTAATTGTGCTATTGATATCCACTTTAGCAAAAAAGAGAAAAATTTTCCTGGTCCAGAATCCAGTCCAAGATCTTAAAGTGCATTTAGTTCTGTTTTCCATTCTCTAAATTTGGACTAGTTCCTCAGTTTTTGTCTTTTATGACCTTGACATTGCTAAAGAGTGTAGGCCAATTATTTGGTAGACTGTCTCCCAAATTTGGACTTGTCAGTTTCCTTGGGATTAGGTTTAGGTTATACATTTTTAGCAGGAATCCCATGGAGGCCACATACCCTTGGTGAAGTGTTTCCAGAGAATCTCAGTCTGTTCTGTTCCTAATGAAGTCAGCTGAATTTGGTTAAGATGGTATTTGATAGTTTTTTCCATTATCGGGTTACTGTGTTTCCTTCAGTAACTAGGATCATGCCGAAGACACTTTGAGACTTTTGTGTAAGTACTTTTTTTTCCATCAAGTTTTTGCTCTAATCTTAAATTTTTTGTATTTTTTTCCAGAATCAACTATCATGATTTTTGTAATTTTGTAATTTTGTAATGGTAATTTTCTAGTTCTCAAATTCCTCTTCTATTATTACTTGGCATTCTAGTATGAGGAAGAGTTTTTACTCCCTCTCCCCATTTATATTTTCATATATATTATTGTAGGTGCATGGATTCTTATTGGGTTATAAATTGTTAGCATAATTTATTTTGATGTACAAATTGTCCCTGACTTGGCCAGTGGGAATGTCTTCAAACTGACTCCTTGAATTGTTTCTATTATTATTTGAACACTTCCTTAACTTCTGAAATCATGAGTTTTCTACTTTTCAAGCCCCAGCCCTGGAATCAGCCTTTTGTTCAAGAACTCCTTGTTCCTTCTAATGGAGGATGGAACTTAAACTATCTGGGAGTTAATTGTATTTATTACTTTTGAGTATATTGTTTCTAAACCCTCTTATTGGACACATAGGAAATATGCATCCCTTCTCTCTCTCTCTCTCTCTCTCTCTCTCTCTCTCTCTCTCTCTCTCTCTCTCTCTCGTGCACACACATGCACCCACACAGAGCAATTTCTGTATCTGTTTCTCTCCATATATTTAAAAAACTATGACTTCATGCTGATTTTCAATTCTAGTTAACACACAAGTTTCATAATAACCACTCTACTGTGCATAATTGTAATTACCCTTTTCCAACAGACAGAAATCTGATTTTCATTATTTAAATATTTTTACTTAATTTCTCAATCCTAGAATATACAGAAAGTAGTTAAAAGAGTTGCTCACCCATACTACTGCAAAAAACAAATCTACCAGCTAGAGTTCAGTGTATATTTATATTTTTTGTTTTTACATGAGATTTTGAAGATGTGGTCAAAATAAATGTGTTAAAAGATTTGGAGGGGTCCTTTACCCCCAACTCCATGTGGTTATATTATTCATTTGAAATATAATTGGATCCATTTACTCCTATTGTATTCCATTTTAAGGTTTCCCCTACATTTCCCCTTCATTTATTGTGTTTATTTTGAGTATGTGAAACACTCCCATGGTTCTGTGAGTCAGAACTCTATAGGAAGATGTGTTCAGATATGTCCCTCCTTTTCCCCATTCCTTTTTACTTCGTCCCCACCATATCCTCTTGGTAGTAAACGGTCCTGTTTATTTTTGCATAAATGAGCAGATATATATGTATATTTTTATTTCCCCCTTTTGATACAAAAGTTGACATAAATAGATACACTTTTATACTTTGTATTTTTTTCTTAATATATTCTAAAAATCTCTCCATACCAACTTATAGTAATCTTTCTCATTCTTTTTTTATATAGCTGTTTAATACTTCATTGTATGGATATACTGTAGTTTATTCAGCTACTTTCCATATATATGTATATATATTTCATATATATATATATATATACGAGGTTTATTCAGCTACTTTTTGTGTCTATATTCTACATGTATTTAAGGGGTTTTGTTATTTGCAGGTAAAAATAATGCTGCAATTTATGCATAGTTATTTTGTATTATTGGCAGTATATCTTGAGATTAAACTTATAGAATTGGGATTGCTGTGCAAAAGGTAAATGCATATGGGACTTTGTTAGGTATTGCCAGTTTCCTTTCATAAGGCATAGTTATATTAAGTTGCATTATCACCAACAACTCATGAGGACATCTATTTCTCCACATCTTTCCTAAAGGATGTGTTCTTATCTTTTCATTTTTGCCATTCTGATAGGTGAAGGAGAAGTGGTATCTCAGTGTTGTTTAATTTGAATTTCTCTTACCATGAGTTAGACTGCTCATCTCTTTTATATGTGTATGTGAGTTGGTTGTATATGATTGTTCATTTGCTTACTTTTCATCTGGTATTTGTTCTTTTCCGCCTTGATTTTTTTTTTTTTATCCATACAAGCACTGGGTATAGTCAGAAGCGCGGGATGGTGAGAGAATTCACCAGAGCCAGAGCGGGGAACAGAACAGGCAGACTGACGAAATATACTGCTGAGCAGCGGGCGTGGCAGGAGAGGTCTTTTGCGCCATATGGGACCCTTGCCGGCAATTAAACCGGTGCTGCAGAGGCTGCAGGCAGCTTCGCAGCCCAGCACTCAACCGCTGCGCCACCAGGGGAGGCCCCTGATTTTTAAGAACCTCTTTATATTTGAGGGCTATTTGCCCTTTATCAGTGAGAGACTGCAGATAATATTCCTCCAATTTTTCTTTTTTTTTTTAGTGATAATTTTTTTGGCCATGCGAAAGTTAAAACAGTTTTTTTAAGATTTTAATTTTTATATAGTCAAATTTATGAATTCTGTTTTATAATTCAGGATTTTGAATCAGGTTGGAATTTATTTTTGATAATGAGTTGAATTGGGGCTGATTTTTTTTTTCCCCCTTTGTGAATGTATAATTGCCCTAGCAGCATTTATTTAAAAACCCATTTTTTTCTGTACTGTTTCTTTGGTCATAAATCAGGTGTTTATACATGCAGTTTATTTATATATTCAGTTCTCTCATGCCGGTTTATTTATGTGCCACTACTGTACTGTTGTAGTTATTATGATAATTGTAGAAAATTTGGTGTATGTTTAACTTTGCCATACACAAAGACAACTTGTAATCAAGAAGTGCAGCAGTTATCCCACTTTCATATGACTGTTCAAAGACAATTTTAATATTTTTGATAGAATGTGAAAGAGAATTTGAAAATATATGAACATACTGAATTTATTAACTAATAGATGAGGGACAGATTGACATTAAGGAAGTGTAACTTTTGATTTACAACTTTTTGCATCATAGTTAATGACCAGTTTCATTAATAGAAACTAGTCTTGAAGAATATGCCAACCTTAGTGATTAATACAATATACTTTCTCATTTTATAATATAGGTTTTTCCAATATGACAACCATAAATTATCAAAATTTAAGTCCATGTAAATCATTTAAACAATAATCCTTTTTATGTCTCTCTATAAATAAGACCCACCTAATAGTACTGTGTCATAATTTTCATAATTGAATGATAGAAACAGAATCTACTCCAAATATTGAATCAGAGACATTTAGAACTGGAGAGATGGTAGAAACTTGTTTTTCATGAACCTGTTTAATTTGTACAAGTGAATTTTTTATGTTTACCTAAGGATGAGCATGGCTGCAGATACAAACATTATAAATTGGTTGGTTAACTTGTGATTCTACCTTAATGGGACAAAACTTTTTGGTCCTTTTATTAAAAAGTAATTTTTTTTTTTTAAGATTTATTTTTATTTATTTATTTATTTATTTATTTATTTATTTATTTATTTATTTATTTATTTAAGCACTGGGCACAGTCAGAAGCGCAGGAGGGTGAGAGAATTCACCAGAGCCAGAGCGGGGAGCAGAGCAGGCAGGAGGACCGAGGTACACTGCTGAGGGGAGCAGCGGGCGGCAGGAGAGGTCTGCGTGCCATGTGGGACCCTCCTCCGGTGTTCGGGGAGCAGCCAGGGATCAAACTGGCGCTGCGGAGGCTGCAGGCAGCTTTGCAACCCAGCGCTCAACCGCTGCGCCACCGGGGAGGCCCCAAAAAGTAATTTTTATTTTTGTAAACAGATGTTTAACTCCTCTGTATTTTCTCTTATTCCTAAAAGAAGTAAAAACCCATTTCTTCACCATTTTTCTTAAGTAATAATTTTATACCCAGTCTGATTCTACAGAGTTTTTACATTCCTTTAAAAACCTCATACATTTTCTTTTCTTTTTTTTTTGTTTCCTGGAGATTACCAAAGGTTTATTTGAAAGGACACAGCACTGAAAACATAATCGTTACAGATGACTTGTGGATACAGCATACATCATCTATTTTATGTCAGGACTATCTATGAAGATGAACTGCATAAATATAGAGAGATGGAAATATATAGGAGCCTTTTTATAGTGTTCTTTTGGGTGGATTTATATGGCCCATCATCTAGCCAATATCACAAAGGCAGAAGTGAAGACTACTCAGCTGCTGGTCCCAAGGAGCAGACCTCCAGTTCCAGGAGCCAGACAGCGAGATGCTCAGGCACTGCTTCCCCCAAAGGGACAGCCGCTCTGACAATGTGTTTGTCATTGCATCCTGAAAAATGCACATTATGAACACAGATACTGTTGACTGAAAAACCTCATATATTTTCAATCATCTTTATGGGCATGGCTTTCTCAAGTAGTGGGATCAGTTAAGCTCTGATCCTAACCATAAATAAAATCTCTAGTTTTTTATTGATATATTATCTAGGCCTTAAAAGGTCTCCTTTCAATTTTGGCATAAATTGGACTATTAGAGAATTAGACAAGGTAAGACAAAATAAGTTTTATAACAAATTCTTTACAATATTGGCTTCATCATTGAATCTTAGGGCAATGAAGATTGTTTCTGAATGTTGCAAGATGGCATTTCTTGTGACTTCATGTAGAGTTACTAACGAGTAGATGTAACTTCTGATTTAGAGGTTTTTGATTTACAAAATTAACCATTTATAATTGATTCATCATTGTGGTACCCTGAAATGATCCCTGTTCTTAAGTCACGTCCTAGGTGAAAGAGTATCAAGGAGAATGTCTCCACTGTTTCCCATCCCGCACTGAATCTGACACATGTGGGCACACAGCATGTTTCCATAAAATCTTTGATTACATATGTAAATTTTGTATTTTAAAAAGAAGTGTGTGATTGTTTATAAATCAGTAAAGAGGTTCTGTTTGTAGAACAGTGTGATGCACTAGTGGTTAACTGTCCATAAGTCTTGAACTCCATAGAAAAGCCAAGAGCTTTGTTTAGTTGTAAAATATCATTTAATCATGATTTAGCTAGTCAAATTTATTTTTATTTTCTGTTGCTTCCAGACCAAGAGCAGTGATGACCTTCTAGCTGGAATGGCTGGAGGGGTGACAGTGACTAATGGTGTTAAAGGAAAGAAAAGCACCTGCCCTTCTGCAGCATCTACCCTTGCCATGAACACCATGGAGAGCAAAGCAAAGATTGGCACAGGTATGGGTGGTATTCAGTTTAAGATTTAATTGGCCTTTTGTTTGAATAAATAGCATGCATTAGTGTTTGGGAGGTTGCATCTAGATAAAAAAAATTTCAGCCCCATATATTCATCGCTGTTATTAGCTGCTGGCCAATCTTAACTCCTTTACACTTGGCTGACTTTGGCCAGCCACTTACTATTTTGAAGCAAATTTCAGGCATCATAGGATTTCATTCACAAATACTTCATTGTCTTTTGAAAGATAAGGATTCTCTTAAAAATATAATCACAGTGCCATTTTCAGTCCTTAAAAGAATTAATGCTCATTCTTTAAATCATAAATTATTCAGTAAGTATTTAAATTTCTGACCCTTTCATAACTAGTAAATACTACATTTATTTACATATATTTGCTGTATATATGTTTGATTAGAATTCACTTAAGGTCCATATATTCTAACTGGTGATATGTTTAAGTTTTCCTTTTTCTTTGCAATTTGATTTTTATAGGAACTGGTTGCTTGACTAGAATTTCTTATGATCTGAATTTTGATGTAATTTCTCCATGATAGCCTTGAGCATGTTCCCTTGTTCATTTGTTTGCTGTAGATGTCATTAGCTATAGCTCTCTGCTGAGACAGATTCAGGTTTGTTTTTTTCCCCCCAAGACTCCTTCATAGGTGGTAGTTAACCATCTATCAGAAGGCAGTCATTTCTGGTTGTCTATTTCCATGATGTTAGCAGCACTTTGTTATAAATACCTAGAGTCATTCATTTTAATTCTGTCATTCTTTAGCAGTGGTTTGTTTTTAGATCTGATGGAGTCCATAACTCATCCCTCAGCTCAAGGAGTAATGCTATATTTTAGTTCTAACACTTATAGGAAAAAAATCCTTAAAATGTCTAGTAAACAGGGCCTCCCCGGTGGCGCAGCGGTTGAGCGCTGGGTTGCAAAGCTGCCGGCGACCTCTGCGGCGCCGGTTCGATCCCCGGCTGCTCCCCGGCCACAGGAGGAGGGTCCCACATGGCGCGCAGACCTCTCCTGCCGCCCGCTGCTCCCCTCAGCAGTGTACTTCGGTCCTTCTGCCTGCTCTGCTCCCCGCTCTGGCTCTGGTGAATTCTCTCACCCTCCCGCGCTTCTGACTGTACCCAGTGCATGTATAAACAAAACGAACGAACAAACAAACAAATAAATAAATAAAAACATGCCTCTATAAAAAAAAAAAAAAAAAAATTAAAAAAAAAAAAAATGTCTAGTAAACATAAGGTCATGAATTTGTAATAAAGCATATGAAAGCAAATTGACAAAAATTATAGCAGACTTTTATCTTCATATAGGTTAGGCTGTTAACCCCTTTCGTATCTATTCGACTTTTTCCTAGTCCATGTTACTTACTGTTTTCCCTCCTGCTTTGTGGATTTTTCCTTCCCTCCCATGTCACACTCCATTATTAATTATAATAGCGCTGAGGTGATTACTAGGAGGAAACATGTGAATCTTTGCTTTGTGCTTTCTAGGCATTATTTCATTTTCTGCTCCCTCTGAGGTAGAGCATGGCTTGGGCAAGATATTTAAGCTTTCGAAGCATAGCTATCTTATCTTTAAAATGAGCCTAAGAATTAAAAAAAAAATTTTTTTTTTTTTTTTATAGAGGCATGCTTTATTTATTTATTTGTTTGTTTGTTTTGTTTATACATGCACTGGGTACAGTCAGAAGCGCGGGAGGGTGAGAGAATTCACCAGAGCCAGAGCGGGGAGCAGAGCAGGCAGAAGGACCGAAGTACACTGCTGAGGGGAGCAGCGGGCGGCAGGAGAGGTCTGCGCGCCATGTGGGACCCTCCTCCGGTGGCCGGGGAGCAGCCGGGGATCGAACCGGCGCCACAGAGGCTGCGGGCAGCTTCGCAACCCAGTGCTCAACCGCTGCGCCACCGGGGAGGCCCTAAAAAAAAAATTTTTAATGATGAGAAAGCTGTCCTTTGAAAGCTTAAATATCTTGCCCAAGTCATGCATTCATTTTGCTCTGTAAATATTTGTTGGGCGACTGTTTTGTACTTGGCTGGTGGAGGAGCAAGGGCTGGACCATAGATCTTTTACTCTTGTGCCTGGGGCCACTGCCACATTTAACACTCCAGCCTGTGAGCTGAGAAGGAAATTAAATACTATAATACCATCTGCATCTCTTCATATTTCCAGCCTTTAGAATTTACTGGGAGAAATTCCACATATTTGAAAACTTGTTCCTTACTGACCAATACCACCTGCCTTTCTAAGACTGAATTCAGTTATTACCTCACAGCTCCAGTATAAGTTTGTCTATCTGTATTAGTTTGCCCAGGCTGTCGTAACAAAATACTGGACTGGGTGGCTTAACAGCAGAAGTTTATTTTCTCATGATTCTGGAGGCTATAAAGTTCAAGATCAAGGTATTGGCAGATAAGGTTTCTTGCCAGACAGATGACTGCTTCTCATCCTCACATGGCCATCCTTCTGTTCCTGTCTGTATATTAATCGCCTGCTCTTATAAGGACATTTGTCATTTTGGATTAGGGTACATCCTAAGAACCCCATGTTATCTCAATTACCTCTTAACCTTAATTATCCTATCTCCAAATACAGACAGTCACATTCTGAGGTACCAGGGGTAGGGCTTCAACATGTGAATTTGGGGGGATATTTGGCCCATAAATGTTCGACACAACAACCACATCTTAATTTTTGAGTACATCTGCTCTGCCTTTATTTACTCTGGATGACTTCCTTAAGACCAGTTCACTAGTCTTTACCTCAGATTCTCCTGTATACTCAGTCATCACAATAATCCCAGAAGAGGTGCTTTTCTTCTTCATGTTCTGTCTTTCTCTCCTTGTTTTTTCTTGTTCCCTTGCTTTGGGGGCCTTATTTATCCTTTCCCTCATTGCTTTCTTTTGTCTTTCAAACATGCCCAGATTTTTTTTTTTTTTTTCAGAACACCTTTTGGTTTAGATAAGAAGTGTGATATTACAGAAATAGGAAAGAAAAATTAGTATTGGGGAAGAAATTATACCATCCTTTTCGCTTTTTGGTCTGCATTTGCAGTTGTTTCTCCTAATCCTATTACTTCTTTTTTTTTTTTTTTAAGATTTTTTATTTATACAATAGCTGGGGTATAGGCCGGAAGCACGGGAGGGTGAGAGATTCACCAGAGACAGAGCGGGGAGCAGAACAGGCAGAAGGACTAAAAGCACTGCTGAGGGGAGCAGGGGGCGCGACAGGAGAGGTCTGCCACGCCATGTGGGAATCTCCTTGGCCAGCTGGGAATCGAGTCCGCACTGCAGAGGCTGCGGACAGCTTCACAGCACTGTGCTCAACCTGCTGAGCCACTGGGGAAGCCCCTCCTATTACTTCTATTTTTGAAATCTATTGCAGAATTTCCCCCCTATCCGGTTGTAATGAGATTGAAGTCTTACTCTCCAAGTGCAGACTCTCGTTTACTTACACTACTGTGCCTGCCCTATTCCTCCTCTACTGTTCTTCCTTCTTTCTCATATTTTCCACTTAGCTTCCTCTTCATTAGTTTTCATAAAATTGCTCTTTCCATATGTTTTTCTACACTCAAGAATATTTAAAGACCTCCTGTGACTCACTGTATTCTCCCTGATGTTCAGGACTCTAGAAAACCCTTCACAGGCAGCTTCCATAACTGTATAATCTCACTTTTTCCTTTCTGTGTGCCTTGCTTTCCTGTCTGTCTTGTGGCCAACCAGAAATCCCTCCCCTGCTGTATACATGATCCCTGTGAAAATTAGTGGCCATCTTTGTACATTATGTAGACTTTACTTTTCAGGTACCTTGCCAACCTGGTACCTGCTACCTACAAAGAAGCAAGTTCTTTACAAATATTGATTGATTGGGTTTAGATCTTATTTTTTATTTTTTTAAAGATTTATTTATTATACAAGCACTGGGTACAGTCAGAAGCGCGGGAGGGTGAGAGGATTCACCAGAGCCAGAGTGGGGAACAGAATAGTCAGACCGATGAAACACACTGCTGAGGGGAGCAGCGGGCGCAGCAGGAGAAGTCTGTGCACCATGTGGGACCCTTGCCGGCGGCCGGGGATCAAACCAGCGCTGCAGAGGCTGTGGGCAGCTTCGCAGCCCAGCGCTCAACCACTGCGCCACCAGGGGAGGCCCAATCTTATTTTTTAATGTAAAATATGCTGTAATTATTTCTTAACTGTGCATGGGTGTTTAAACATATCCCCTTTCAGGGCCTCCTGGTGGCGTAGGGTTTAAGTCTCAATGCTCTCAAGCTCTCACCAGCCATGCGGCACAAGTTCGATCCCCGGTCAGGGAGCTGGCCCACATGGCTTAGCAGACCTCTCCTGTCTCGCCCGCTGCTCCCCTCAGCAGTGTATTTCAGTAGATTCGCCTGTTCTCCTTCCCACTGTGTCTCTGGTGAATCCTCTCACTCCCGCACCTCTGGCCTGTACCCCAGTTCTTGTATGCATAAATAAATAAAAATAAATCTTAAAAAAAATCAAACATATCCCTTTTTTTAATATTAAATAACCATGTCAATTATTTTTATAGGTTATAAGGTTCAGAAGTTTAGGGATACTGTGATTTGTAAAGCATATTTGATTAGTATGTCATTTGTAGCATTGGTGCATTATTTCCTGACATTTACAGAGGTGGTTTAGCATACCGGGTAAAGGGCAGATTCTGGAGCCAGACTGCCTGGGTATAAATCTTGCCTCATCCATTTAACTATTTTGAGATGCTTGCAAATTATTTAACATCCTGCATGGATTTCTTCAGTTGCACAACAAGATGATAATAGCATCTACCTGAGTTTTGATGAGGCTTGTATAAGTTAATGTATGTGAAATAGCAATGTGTGTGAATGGTAAATATATTAGCTACTACTATTATAATAATTGTTATTATTTGTGTGGCAGAATGCATTTTTTGCATTTACCTTCATAATATTTTTTGTGTTTATTGTAACTTAGATTTTTAGAGACTGCCTGTCCCTTCTTGTTCACCTGTAATCTTCCCTGACCTTCTATTTCTACAGTTCTTTACCACTGACGGGCTAATCCTAATTAGATAAAGATGATTTATAGTCATCTTAATATGTCTAATTAGACTTTATAGAACATTTTTCATCTATTTTGCCCTAATGTATTGTGCCCCTGGCCCACCTATATGAAGCTGTGGTTTAGGATTCAAGTTAATGTATCTAACTTGTAAAAAATTTAACACCTTTATTGAGATATAATTCTTGTCCCATCAAATTTACCCCTTTTAATGTGTACATACAGTTCAATATGTAACTTCTTTTTCACTGATAATTAAAAGATAATTTGAGGAAAATGAGTATTACAGTAACCACACTGACTCCAGGAAACATTAATATAGGTCTAAATCAATGTTTGTATATCCCCAGATTTCATCTCATTGGACCTAAGGCATAAACTATGTATCTTTTTATTGCTAATATTTTTGCCTTAAATTCCTTGTTGTAAATACATAGGCTCGTGTTCTTCAACCAAGCGGAGCACTTCTACAGGTAATAAAGAATCCAGTTCTACCAGAGAAAGACTGCGTGAACGTACCCGACTAAACCAGAGCAAAAAACTACCTTCTGCAGGTCAGGGAGCTAATGACATGGCATTGGCTAAGCGTTCCCGCAGCCGCACTGCTATGGAATGTGATGTTCGTATGAGTAAGTCTAAGTCAGACAATCAGATCAGTGACAAGGCCGCTTTGGAAGCCAAAGTGAAAGATCTTCTCACACTGGCAAAAACTAAAGATGTGGAAATTTTGCATTTGAGAAACGAACTCCGAGACATGCGTGCTCAGCTGGGCATCAATGAGGATCATTTGGAGGGTGACGAAAAATCTGAGAAGGAAGCTATTATTACCCACCAGCCAACTGATGTTGAGTCAACGTTACTGCAGCTACAAGAACAGAATACTGCCATCCGTGAAGAACTCAACCAGCTGAAAAATGAAAACAGAATGTTAAAGGACAGGTTGAATGCATTGGGCTTTTCCCTAGAGCAGAGGTTAGACAATTCTGAAAAACTGTTTGGTTATCAGTCCCTGAGCCCAGAAATCACCCCTGGTAACCAGAGTGATGGAGGGGGTACTTTGACTTCTTCAGTGGAAGGCTCTGCACCTGGGTCAGTGGAGGATCTTTTGAGTCAGGATGAAAACACCCTCATGGACCATCAACACAGTAACTCTATGGACAATCTGGACAGCGAGTGCAGTGAGGTGTACCAGCCCCTCACATCGAGTGATGATGCCCTTGATGCACCATCATCCTCAGAATCAGAAGGCATTCCCAGCATTGAGCGCTCTCGAAAGGGAAGCAGTGGGAATGCCAGTGAAGTGTCTGTTGCTTGCTTGACGGAACGGATACACCAGATGGAAGAGAACCAGCACAGTACGAGTGAGGAACTTCAGGCAACTCTGCAAGAGCTAGCTGATTTACAACAGATTACCCAAGAACTGAATAGTGAAAATGAAAGACTCGGAGAAGAGAAGGTTATTCTCATGGAATCTTTATGTCAGCAAAGTGATAAGTTGGAACACTTTAGCAGGCAGATTGAATATTTCCGCTCCCTTTTAGATGAGCATCACATTTCTTATGTTATAGATGAAGATGTAAAAAGTGGACGTTATTTGGAATTAGAACAACGTTACATGGATCTAGCTGAGAATGCCCGTTTTGAACGAGAGCAGCTGCTAGGTGTTCAGCAGCATTTAAGCAATACTTTGAAGATGGCAGAACAAGACAATAAGGAAGCTCAAGAAATGATAGGGGCTCTCAAAGAACGCAATCACCACATGGAACGCATTATTGAGTCTGAGCAGAAGAGCAAAGCAGCCTTGGCAGCCACATTGGAAGAGTACAAAGCCACAGTGGCCAGTGACCAGATAGAGATGAATCGCCTGAAGGCCCAGCTGGAGAACGAAAAGCAGAAAGTGGCGGAGCTGTACTCCATCCATAACTCTGGGGACAAGTCTGATATTCAGGATCTCCTAGAGAGTGTCAGGCTGGACAAAGAAAAAGCAGAGACTTTGGCAAGTAGCCTGCAGGAAGATCTGGCTCACACCCGAAATGATGCCAATCGATTACAGGACACCATTGCTAAGGTACTGGTTAATTATATAAAATGTTCTGGATCTGCTTCATGTAGTGCAATACGTGGCATGCTTATTGAGAGCGAGGATCACTTGTGTGGTGTGTCACTGGCTTTTATTTAAGAAAAAACTTGTGACTGGCTTTCTTTTGAGGAAATAGAGTGAAAGTATTCTTCTAGTAATGTTGCTCTCACTCACTGAAATTTTGTTACTATTATCCTGTGAGAAGGTAGAGGTAGAGATATAACTAGCAACAGAATTTGTCTTCTTTTTTTTTGGGTCCACCCAGCAGAGTATGTCTTGCAGTTTTTACATCTTCATCCTTTTTTTTTTTTTAAAGATTTATTTATACAAGCACTGGGTACAGTCAGAAGTGCGGGAGGGCAAGAGAATTCACCAGAGCCAGAGCGGGGAGCAGAGCAGGCAGAAAGACCGAGGCACACTGCTGAGGGGAGCAGCGGGCAGCAGGAGAGGTCTGCGCGCCATGTGGGACCCTCCTCCGGTGGCCGGGGAGCAGCCGGGGATGAACCGGCGCCGCAGAGGCTGCGGGCAGCTTCGCAACCCAGTGCTCAACCGCTGCACCACCGGGGAGGCCCTACATCTTCATCCTTAATGTACTTTGACATAAGAAAGATGAAGAATCAGTATTTCCTCCTATGGGATAAGCGGCATCTGCCATCTCATCCTGCTGTGGTTGTAGTTTTTCAAATTGACTTCTGTCATGAATTTAAATACTTTTGGAGTCTGGAGGCTCCTGTTTATTAAAAGTCTATGGTTTGTGCTAGCATGGGCCTTAGAGATCAGTGATCTCTCATTGTTTCATGTCAGCATAATGGTAAGGATTCACTTGTTGCTGCAGCCCTGGCCTGCTGACACTGGCTAGGGTTCTGTGCCCCACATAGTTATTTGTGTGTTTTTTGCATAAGTTAACTAATCACTCTATCTCATGTTTTATTTTTTATTTTAGTCCATTGATTTTTAAATTAAAAAACATTTTTGGATAAAGTATTTTGGAAAAGTATATATTTGACCAAAATATGAATAACTTAGACATTAAAATACTTAATCACTTCTACAGATATAATTTCAAAGATACATTGTTGGTGCATATGCATTGAGAGAAGCAGTATGACCTACTGTACTTGCAATGAGAGTGTTTGAGATTTTATGTTTCTATTTTTAATTTGATGAAACTGACAAGTCCATTCATTTTTGTTGGAGAGCATATCAATCATTAATCAAGTGTATGCCTTCAATTTCAACTTTGAAGGGAAAATTTCCAAAATTTCTTTACAAATAATCTAGTTAAGTTCAATGATTTGTCAATATGATTTCATTCAGTGATGTTATGACAACAAATTATGCTTAATTAAGTATGAAGTCCTGTATTACTGTAGCATGTTTTTTCATATTTTTTAACAGTTAATACACAGGTTGTTTTAGTTCATGCAACTCAGTTTCCATTTGAAACCATGTGTACCTCAATTCTAAAATTTATCTTAGAACAACTTTTACTTTTCTAATCTGCACTATCAATTTTATATAGGTAGAAGATGAATACCGAGCCTTCCAAGAAGAAGCTAAGAAACAAATAGAAGATTTGAATATGACATTAGAAAAATTAAGATCAGAGCTGGAAGAGAAAGAAACAGAAAGAAGTGACATGAAAGAAACCATCTTTGAACTTGAAGATGAAGTAGAACAACATCGAGCTGTGAAACTTCATGACAACCTCATCATTTCTGATTTAGAGAGTAAGACAAAAATTTTCCTTCTTTTTTGCCCCACCCTTTTTAACATGTGTTAAATAGTTTGTATGTAATAACAAAGTAAAAATTAGTAATTCCGAAAGGTACAAGTAATTCAAAGGGAGCAGCATAGTTAGCTAACAGAAATATACTTGTTATAGTGAATCATACTTTAGTCAATAGTCTTTGACTACTGTTTCTTGTGCCTAAGGAGGACCTCTGAAGTTGATGCATTACTGTAAAGCTGTGCCTAAATATGGAAAATCATTTAAACAAAAAGCTAGGTGGTTATTTTATAAATATTAAGAAGAACCATTTATGATCTGCTCCTAGTGGTCACAAATACACTGAGACAGAAAAATAATGATTCTGACTGATCTTATATCTAAGACAAAGGTTTTTGTCTGATTTTTTTTCTTACCATGGAGATTTTATGATCTTGTACATTGAAGCTCAGATTTGAAGTTTGTAACTCTTTTTTTTGTAATTATTATAGGCTTAGAAAAAAGCTGCAAAAATAGTACTAAGCATTTCTGTATAGAAGATTTGATAAGGAACACAATATTTGTATGATCTTAAAATGTCCTCTCATAGACTGTTATGTTAAAAGTGAGGAAAAGAAGCAGTCAGAAATTATACAGTAGAAAAATTGTGTAACACTTTGGGTGATCACATAAGTGATAAAAGCACACAGATACTGAATACAGCTTGTTTGTATTCTGGCTGAGGCATAGCTTATAGTTACAGAAGCACCAGACAGATAAAAGTTAAGAAATATTTTACTACAACACAAGAGTGATTCCTCAAAAATGCCAGTGTCATACAAAACAAAGGCTATGGAAAAGCTCCAGATTAAAGGAGGCTAAGGAAACATGCCAGCTAAATGCAATACCTGTACAGTATGGGTTCATTATTATAAGGGGGAAATGCTGTAAAGGATAACGTGATAAAATTGCATGTAAATGTAATGATAGGTTAGATAAACTTACTAGTATAAATTTATGATGTTGAAGACTATACTGTGTTTATATAGTGAATAATCCTAGTCTTAAGAACCACAGAGTGAATATTATGGGGTAAAGGACCATGATGTGTATTCTCACATAGTTCAGGAAAAAAATTAGGGATGATGGATGGATGGATGGGTGGATGGATGATAGATAGATAGATAAGGATAGAAGAGAGAGAGAGAGGGGGATAGAAGACAGTAAATGCTAAAAATAAGTGGATGAACTGTTAACACTAAGAAAATCAGAGTCAGAGGGCTGGCTCATAGATATTCCTTATATTATCTTTTGCAGCTTTTTGTAAGTTTGAAATTATTTCCAAATAACACGTTTTAAAAATTCTTACGTATTCTTCATCCACACTCTTCAAATGTTAACAAGTTTTAAGTTGTAATACTTTAATGATGCCATGTGTGGACAAGGAGAATGGGGGCAGTAAGCGTTTTTGATACATTTATCAAAGCTTTCTAAACTTTCTTTCATGATACTTCTCCTTTGAGCCTTAATTATTTCTTTTTTTTTTTTAATTTTTTTTTTTTTTATAGAGGCATGTTTTATTTATTTATTTGTTTGTTTGTTTGTTTGTCTGTTTATACATGCACTGGGTACAGTCAGAAGTGCGGGAGGGTGAGAGAATTCACCAGAGCCAGAGCGGGGAACAGAGCAGGCAGAAGGACCGAAGTACACTGCTGAGGGGAGCAGCGGGCAGCAGGAGAGGTCTGCGCGCCATGTGGGACCCTCCTCCCATGGCCAGGGAGCAGCCGGGGATTCAACCGGCGCTGCAGAGGCTGCGGGCAGCTTCGCAACCCAGCGCTCAACCGCTGCGCCACCGGGGAGGCCCGAGCCTTAATTATTTCTTGATAGAGGATTGATAGGCAGACAATAGCATAGAGCCAGATCTCATGTGCTGTGGGTACAGAGGTGGGGCGGTTTGTGCTTTTACTAGAGGAGTGGGGTTGCAGGAGCCTTAAACATGTTTTGTGGCAGTTTGGAACTCTGGCTAGTTCCCCCAGTATCTGTAGATTGACTTCACGGTTATTTGGAACATTTCCAAACATGTAGATACTAAAGTAGTGACTGTGAGTCTGCATCTCAGAGATAAAAGTCATTCTAGAGGTGAACTTTCTATATAAAGTTCTAAAAAGCTTTTCAGTATAATATTTGCTTTGTATTTCATTGTCCCCGAACTGAGGATTTATCTAATTTTACTTTCTTAAATGTAAGATGTTTTAAAGTTGTTCAGATTAATTTGGAAATTCAGTTCATATTCATTTAATGTTGATAATTTTCTTTCCTTCTAAGACTTTTGATTTAACCATGGAAAGAGTGACACCTTGTGGTAATTGGGGTAATAGCTAGAAAAAAATGTTAGATGATAAGAATGCCTGGTATGACATTTTACAACTCATTTCCAGAATATAAATTACATGATTATATAGATTTCAATTATAAAGCAGACAAAATGCCTGACTAAATGTGTTTTATTTTGCTATGTATTTTCTCTCCCCAATTTTTAAAATTAAGATATGCAGAAATGGGGCCTCCCTGGTGGCCTAGGGGTTAAGTCTCAGCACTGTTACCATGAAGGCCTGATTTCGATTGCTGGCCAGGGAGCTAACCCACATATGGTGCAGCAAACCTCCCCTGTCTTGCCTGATGCTCCCCTTAGCAGTGTATTTCAGTAAATATCCGCCTGTTCTGCTCCCCACTCTGTCTCTGGTAAATTCTCTCACTCCCTGCACCTCTGACCTACATCCCATATCTTCCACACAAAAATAAAAAAAACCTTAAAAAAAAAAAAGTTCAGCTTTAAAATACACACACACACACAGAAATACAGAAAAGAATAATACAGCTAGCATCCTTGTCTAGACTTGACAATTGATAACATTTTGCATTGTTCACCTGTCATACGTGCGTGTCTGTTTCCTGAACCTGACACTTAATTCCTAAATATTTCTGTATGTAACTTCTAAACATTCTCATCAATACCTTACTACATTATCATACAATGTAATATCACATCTAGTAAAATTAGTCATTTTCCCCGGTTAATGTATAATAGCCCATATTCATATTTCCCAGGTGGATCCCAAAAATCTCTTCACAGTGTTTTGTAGGAGCCAGCATCCAACCAGATTTCATGCTTTGTATTTAGTTGTTATACATTCATTCTCTGATAGGAATGGATTTTTCATTTTGGAAAATTCTTCCATTTGGGATTGATGCTAAGCCAGAACTCTGTATGGGGGACTTGATGACAGTCATGTCCTACTGTTAATTGAGAATTTCCTTTATGGAATGTTTTAACAATCCCTACAGAATCAATATTAGAACTTTTTCGTCACACCGGAAAGAAACCCTATACATATGGTAGTGGTCATTCCTCATTTACCCAAAATGATCTCCTGGCTCTGGAATTAGTGGAAAGAATTTAAAACAACTATTGCAACTTTGGAATTAGTGGATAAGCTTTAAAATAGCTATTGTAACTATACTCAGGATGTAGAGAAAAATACACTTGTAATAAATGAACAAGTAGCAGAATCTCAACAAAGGAAAAAAATGTGAAAAATAACCAAGAAGGTATTCTAAAACTGAAAAAATTTTGCAGTTAATATGGAAAATATCCTGAGTTATTTAAGCAGAAAATTAGAAATTTAGAAAAGCCAGTAAACTTGAAGATCAATCAGTAACCTCAATCTAGTCTGCAGGACAAAGAGATAACAGATTGCGGCGGGGGGGGGGGGGAAATGAGTCTAACACATGTAACTAGAGAACCAGATGACCTCTCAGATAGCATCAGTGCCTAACTTAGTTTTGCCCTTCAATACTTTTCAGTAGTACTTGAATTTAGCATTTGGTACTTGAATCCAGACAACCCTCATATAAAAACTCAGTAAATGCCATCAGGACTTCTGTGAAGATATGACCTAAGGAATCCAGCAAGATAGTGGCATATTGAAGACACTGGGCTCACCTCTACATATTTGCAACAAAATCACAACTGAAGACAATGAGCCCTGAAAGATAAACAAATCACTGTGATACACACTAAGTGTGATGGCACAGTAGAAAGGGTTTGGAAAAACTATAGTTAAATTGCTTGCAACAGTACTGGGGCAGTGTAACCCATGAGTGAGATGGGGATATAACTCACAGACAGAGGAGTAACTGCCATCCAAAGCCTCTCAGCTGTTTTTACCTCAAGGACATACACCCATACTGGGGACTTTAAAACCTGAGTTCTATACTAGAGAAGGGAGTATACAGAGTTTAGGAGTCTAAGTCCAGAGTGCTGATTAATGTGTTGCATCTGTAGCTTCCACACGAGGACAATTGGAGCCACAATGAGCAAGGAGAGCCAGGTTGAATTACCTGTCTGTCATTATAGAAGATGGTATTATTTGTAGCCTGTGACTGTGATCCATGAAATACCTGCCTTTTCCCTATTCAAGGCCAAAATTGAGACAGTAACTGAATACTAACGATAACCACCTGAATCTTAACAGCAGGAACAACCATCACAGGGCAAGCTTCCATATTTGAAAGGCAGAGAGAACAACTCCTGGCTTGTGACCCCATTTCAGTTATAATCCCCAGTCAGCACTATTTTCACTGAGATGTTGGTGTAAAGGGTGGGATCACTATGAAGTGGCAACACACATCTGTTACCTTGATTGAAGCTGCCATTTCCCCTTTTGTAGATCTTGGGGGGACCCCCTCTCTAGGCATGTATTATCAGCAGAGCCTGTATCCTGTTACATCAAAAGAAAAGACTTACGTGTATAAAAATGACTTCTACTATTGTTGAGAAACGTGCAGAAATCCCTAGATTTGTTGTTCTTGTCTTTTTCTAAGTAAGGAAAAAGCAACCAGGACTTGTTGCACATTTTAATATATCTTAATAAAGCAGAAAAGTGAAACAACAGAAAGAAGCAGCTCAACTGAAAGAAGCAGCTCAGCTGAGCCCAAAGAAATGGTTAATTACTTCACCAC